GTAGTAGTAGTAGTAGTGGTGGGAGGAGGAGGTGGAGGTGGTGGTGGTAGTCGCAGCAGCAGTGGCAGTAGCAGTAGCAGTAGTGGCAACGAAAAGCCAGGAACTACAGCGGGCCATAGGGGAGGCATTGATAATCAATGGCCAAGTTGGCGGAGGACTCATTCTGGGATCTTGATTTTCCATGGTTACAATCAAGGTCTTATGAGAACAGTCGATGCTGGTGCGAGCAATGCTGCTTGCAAAGCAGTTAATTAGCGCGACCATCAGATTCAAATTAGGATGTCAATGATGTTGTGAAGACTTGGTCACCTTGCCCTACGCACATACCTTCAGGTGGATGAGCAGATGTTGAACGTCCAGAACAAGAACTCATCTTACTTCGTGGAGCTTCGGCTGTGGCAGTTGTTCGCGCTCTATAGCTGACTGGGCGTTGTACATCGCCTGGGTTCTTGCGCGGGTCTGCTGAAATTGGGTTGTTCGATATACCTGTCCAGCAGGCATCGTAAATGAGAGCCGGCTCTTTGGGTCATTTGGAGAAGTGAGTATTGTTTGGAAGCAAGAAGCCAGGGCGCTCGTTAACATACCTTGGGGGTCCAGGCAAGCATGAGGATGTTTTGATCATCTTGAAATGGTTCTGCAGTGTCAGCCGAAATGCCGGAGCAGTCCAAGCCTTCAAACCTGTATTATCACCCAAGTCACTGCGGCACCCCTTTTTTTGAGAAGCTCCATATGAGCTATAGTCAAAACTCTGTAAAGGGGATTATAGACAGGTGTGTTATAGGAGTATTACAGGGGTTATTACGGGGGATACTAGGAGTCTAGACTATAGCTCATCTCTTCGGAGGCTTGAAGCCCACCAAGTAAACTTCAATCGCCAAATCCGATTCCTGCGGTGGAGGGAGGAAGTCTTGCACCTCTTAAACTCTCAAATACATCATATGGGGGTTCCCCAAAATTTGGGTATCTTGTTAGTTGGGGGTCCCTATAGAAGGACTATAGTATTTTGGTGTCTGTATTGGGGTCCCCTTATTTCGGGAAACTGTCATATTTCCCCTGGTAAATAAGTATGCAAGGCTGCAAGGAGGTGCAAGATTCGTAGGGGGAAACCCCACCCTGCCATAGCGGTACGACAGGAATACATGATTAGCCTGACAATTGTCCCTTGTAAGTTTAGGGTTAAGGATTTAGTCACGATTATTGGGTGGAGGCCAGCCAAGTTCCTATCCATCCACAGCATCAAACATCAGCATAGCCGCATAGCCAGCAATATATAGGGAATAGTGGAAAAGAGAAATGAAAGCTACTGTATCATTTGGGTTAAGGGTTTGGGTCTACAGCTTTAGGGCTATATAGGGTAATAATGGAGACCAATTGGAAAAGAAACTGGAAACTGAAGTTCACGACACCAAGAAGTAGTCTAGAATCCGTATAGTACGGGCCCCTATAGTGGGGTTCCCATTACGATACGGGTTCTCATGTAAACTTCCCCCATTTTGGGAACAGTAATTTAGGCCACGACAAACTTCAAGGAGTGGCAACCCGGAAATGAAGCGCAGTTGGGCAAGGCTGATGATGGGTTTTGGGCTTAGGTTAAGCTTGAAGATCTGTAGCATTCAAGCTCCGACAGCATCTGCCCTGCATATCAAGGAGTGGATCCCCAACAATATCAAGGCCTCGGTGTGCGACATCCCGCCCAAGGGCTCCTGGGCCACGGTGTGAGGGGTGTTTGCGAGCAGGGCTTGTATGACAGTGCCAAGTAATCTCACAACGAAGGTTAGACAACGCAAGCCCCAGATCTTGAGCCCTTTGATGGATTCTCAGACTTCCTCCGTCAGCCGTGCCCTACTTATTGTTGTGATTAAGTAAGCATAGCTGAAGAGCCAGGGTTCGGTATTCAGAGCCGCATCTTTGAGTTCGGGATGTCATGTATGCTAAAGGACGGCAAACAGGAGCCACAACAAACCTAACACCAGACCCGGCACCCTTCGTGGGTCCTTCTGTCAACAGAATGAGTGGATGCCTGTTTCTTGGAATGTTACCCACATACGTATGCGGCCATGCAGGATGTTCAAGCTTTCAACTTCATGGGTTTGGGGGGAGTCGTAGAAGGATGGGGTCATTGTTTGGCCTTTGCTTGTTGACGATGATTTTGTCTGCTTGCGATGAATCCAATGAAGATGGTGAAATCCTACTTTCAGGGTTCTTGAGCTTATTTACGCTTATGACTCTTACTATTGTTATTACTACTACTATTACTATTACCATTGGTAACGCTAGTACTGTTATGATTACTTTTACTATTCGTATTCTGTAAGGGAACATTGGCTTTCAAGACCGATTCCGATGCGTGGGGCTTGACATGTTCCCCCAGCACATCCTCCAAACGGATTTCGGGTGTAGGGTTTGGGGCTTAGGGTTTGGCCAGTGGTGGTGATGGGGATGCTGCTTATACCTTTTGAATGTGACTCAGGTCTCAAGATGGCTGTCGCCTTCGCGGGAAATTCGACGGCCATCCAAGAGATGTTCAAGAGGCCGGTCATGTCATAGGTAAGACGTACATCAACACTCAGGATCAACAAGTCCAGAGTGAACGTAGACAGCTGAGCACGCTTGCACAAAATTCCTTCTCTAATCCCCTCTAGTAAGGCATGCACCCACTATCCCACTCCCACTTGGTCCACCATGCCGCTCGCAGGGTGGCCGAGTACTTTACCGCCATGTTCCGGCGCAAGGCATTCCTGCACTGGTACACCGGCGAAGGCTGCAGCGGATTTGGGGGGCCTCAAGGATGGAAGATTCTTACTAGGAGCGTTGGAGGGGCCGCGGGGTTTGCATCAAAAATCAGTGGTGGTTCTGGTCTTCTGGCGCAGCATATGGCATCCCTTGCAGCTCCTGTCCGGCATTCGCAAATCTCTCGCGCAGCCTGAACTTCCCCTGAGCCTCAAACTCATGCACAGTGCACAGGTATGGACGAGATGGAGTTCACTGAGGCGGAGTCAAACATGAACGACCTGGTCTCAGAGTACCAGCAGTACCAGGCCGCATAAAGTCAGTGGGAGCTTCCTCTCATGCCCAACCCCTAGTGAGGCACCCTGGCCCTATTTTTTCAATCACTCATAGCATCGGTTTTCCTCTGGATTTTTCCTGAAACGACTTGGAAGTTCGGCGGAGGCAAGCGTTGAATCATAAGGGGCTGGGTTTAGAGGCCTGGGATAATGTAAGCTTCATAGGAGTTTCGGAACTTGCTCCAGGTAGCCTCCATCGCTCATGACCCTCTCATTATTCCCATAGATCCCGAGGCCTACGAGGGACCCCTCATTTGGAGAGTTGTTGTTGCTGTCAGCTGCAACTGGCCATGATGCCCAGGAAATGCCAGGAACACTAGTATTCGAGGGGTACCATGACTAGCCATGACAAGTTGAGTAATATGGGAATGACACATGGAAGCCTACAGTCACAACCTTTCTACCTCAGCAAAACAACATGACGAATAAAGCAACCAGAACAAGAAGCTGGGAGCAAAAGCCAAAATTTGACCTCATACCTTAGGAGGACCCCCCACCGTGTGATAGTGACTAAAGGGGACAATAAGGGTTATATTAGGCTCCTCTATTCCTAATATACCACTATTACAGGGTGGGGGGTCCTCCTAACTCATACCCCTTTGACCTCATTACCCTAAACCCTAAACCTTAAACCCCTAAACTCATATCCCTTAGATTCCGTGGCCTCCGCAAACACTTGCAGGATGCCACTGCGGAGGAGGAAGGCCGGCAGTGGTGGGCTTTTGGGTTTAGGGCTTTATATATGGGGTATATAGGAATAATGGAAAAGAAAATGGAAACTATTATAATACAGTATACATTCTATATATATATATGTATGTATTCATATATAAATATATACACATATATTTACCTATATATATATATACATACATATATATGTATAATAGGGTGCCTGAGTTTCGGCGCATGGGGATAGTTGGCCAGCTCCAGCATCTCAAGCCTGGATGTCTTGGACTTTGACTCAAAATCTTGATGGGCGTCCGGGTTTTCCTGACTCAAAGGCTTATGGGCTCCATGGGTGAGTTCATGCCAAAGCCTCATGTTTGATGACAGTGATCGTCATGAGAAAGCCTCACCTTAGCTTTCTTGGTGTGACCAGCACAGGGGCTATTCTTTTCACTGCTAGATGCACCAGCTCGGCTGTGCATGTTATGTTGAAGTTGCATCGCGACTCGGGCTCCTGCAGGTGAGTTTGACGAGGAGGAGGGCGAGTATGACGGCTAAGCGTGCTGCATCCCAGACCCCTCTGTGCTTGAAGCACTTTCGGACTGTTGGCGACCTCGCTGCAACCGCATCCGACAAGAGGACGCAGCCGGGGAAATTCAATCGGGTGCTTCCAAAAGCTTCTATGCCCACATAGCTGGTGCTTGTGTGCGCGGACCTCAAAGAACCAGACCTGGCCTGTTCCTTGATTTTGGAAGCTCCCACTCCTTGCAAGCTTTCAAGAAGATCTTGAAGGCCCAAGCCTAGGCGCAAAAATCCATGGGCACGGTTGCACAGTGCCTGAAGATCGAGCTATCAAAGTATCAGAGGAGTACCTGCAGCTAGAAGTCGGGTGTATAGTACTGGCGTGGGCAAGCTCTTACTTTTGCCTTCAATCCCTTGGAGTCTGCGAGGGATTGGATCCTTGAAGGGCCAAGTTGGAACCACTGTTTTCAGGACGCTTCTGGAGCAATTTGAAGGGTTGAGGATTTCAAGCTGAAGTGTGCTATGTTGTTCTGCTGCTTGCGCGTGGCCGATTTTGGGATATGGTCGCGTAAAGAGATGGTGCTCTTCAGTTTTGATCTGCCCGCCTGTTTTCAGCTTGACCCTGGTGGCCCATTGTAAATTCACAGTGGTGGCGTCCTCACCGATGGACGACGAAACGCTGCCGACGCTCAAGCTGGGTGCAGCTCAAGGCAGTCAGCTGTGAGGAATTGTAATCATTGTAACAGTCGATTGTTTGCCACGGGGTGCAGCAACAAATGCAGATGGTGTGACAAGCGGTTCGCATGCAACAGGCCCCGCGGAGCTGCAGAAGCTGGCGGCTACCGAGCCGCTGAAGCTTCCGGAGCAGCAGCTTGCGCAGCAGCTGCTTGAGCAGGTGTACGTCAAAGCACGTACAACGGTGGAGCGGCTGGCAGGCCAGAGGAATTCAAGATGCGGCTTTCTAGCGCAATGCCCATTGCAATTCAATGTCTTCATCTTGGGCAGGACCGAAGACAACTCCCTCCCAAGGAGGGGCAAGGCCGGCAGCGTCGGTGTTCAGCTGGGGAAGATCTGCTCGCACACACGTTGTTCTGGGCAGGCTGGCGATGGAGGAGTGGGCGGAGACCCAGCAGGCCGCTTCTGGGCGTGATTAGAAGGCCGAAGGAGTTTGATAGACTAGCTTGCATATGAGTCAACACATACCCCCAATCCGAGGTCATCAACTTTTTCTTTGGCGGCAAGTCTGGCCCAACAACGCCAGCACAGGGCGGGGCAAGGTGCGCGGAGTGATCTTGAAGTTCTGACCGTTGATTACTTTTACCCTGACGAAGTAGATGATGTGCAGGGTGTAGTCTCCAAAATGCACGTCATGCCAGGCAGGCCACTCAAGAGCTGACAGTGGGGGGGCTTGGCTGACCGAGACGTTTTCCGGTGTAGACACTTGGCTGCGCAATGAGACAAATTTCTTAGCTTAGAAGACGTTGCCCACCACCGCCGACCGCCACCACCACCACCACCACCAACACCTCGTGCGGTCAAACGTGGGTCTAAGGTCAATGACTTCACAATGGACTTGATGGAATGTGTGCGGCCGAGCCGCAGTTGGGCAAAGTCCTGGCGGTTCTGCTGAGCGCCCTATCTGCTGCCCTGTGCACCTCTGCGCTTCCAAGCTTTGGGTAACGCTGGAAGAGGTTATGAAAGTATACGTGCGGGCGATCGTCAGGGTTGCGGCTTCTTTTTTGAAGGGACGCCTTATGGTACGGCACCTAGTCAAAGTCGTAGGGGTGCATGAAAATGGGACTGACTCTTCTTGGCCATTACACATGTAGCACTTGGCGCATGAATCACAAGTCAGGGCCGGTGACGGGCGTAGACTTCGACAATTACTCAAGTTCTGTGCCCTCATAGCTTCCAGAAATACCTGGAGCGCCCAAACTGAAGACCGCAACCATATTCATGCTCGGGTCAAAAGTCCCTAAACCTCTGAGTAAAAAAGGTCCGAGAACATCCGCAGCTAGAGTTTTGGGAACATGGTGACAAGCAGCGAAGAGGAGTGAGAAGAAGAGTCAGCAGTGCAGTGCAGGGCAGGCAAGATGCCTCCAGTTCAGCATCAGCTGATGTAAATGATCCCGACGGCTTGGATTAGTGGTGTGCTATGCACCCTAAGCTTTCAGGTGAATACTCATCAGTTACCCCGTTTCCCCATGGCCTACCTGGAGGTTCATGGGTGCTTGTAAGTGGGGTTGAAAATTATTTAGAACAGTTGGTATAGCATAGCCCTAAACCCTGACCTACGCAATCTTGCTAAAGAGGCCCTGTTCCTTTTTCACTTCTTTGCTTGAGGGCTCGGGGTTTCAGTTTGGTCCGCAATTCTTGTACATCTGTAGCAGAGAGATACATACATGCCATTTTCTTGCGCCCGAAGGAGCCCGAGCCTCAAGTTCCAAGCGGAATCCCTGATCTGTACTTAGGAAAGCCTACTCCAAAATCCCTACGCCCTGAAACTCAAATCTCAGCCCCTAATTCCAAGCTTTTATCCCTAAATCCTGCATGGACCACTGTCAAGCCGTTCCGTTCATATTCTTCTCCACTTGGGTGGAAACCAGCCGGCAACCATCCGAACGTCTCAGGAAGTTAGGGAGGCTTGGGGTTTAGGGCTGGGGGGGCTGTATCAGGGTACAATATATATCTTCTGATTTCATCAAGCACTCATGATCATGGAATATAGCGCCATATGCAAGATCTATAACAGGGAAAGTAAGTTGTGATTCGTCGGATCAGAACCGCCGGCTTCGGATCGTTTCAAAGCCATGATGGACATTTCAAATTGGGACATCGCTTGAAAAACATTTGAAAGTCGATAGAGAATATATACTATTTCCCATAAGTACAAATATACATAGTATTCTTTAGCTTAGAAAAGTAGGAAGATTACAAGTTCTCCATTTTGCACCTCTACCAGCCTGAGTCAGATTCTATACATTCATGAGCATTTCCTTTCTTGAGAAACTCGTACATGCACATTTGAAATTAGACGAGTAGGGAGGTCCCTTTAGATTTTTTTCGAGATCAAAAGGTCATTGAGTCGGAGATATTTGACTTCAATAGTTCTTACTAAAATATACTGAATACCATATGGTTTACAGCACAAAATACTGAGAAGAAATTCAATGCCTGAAGCTCGAACTATCACACGATCAGAGGGCTACGTTCAGGCAAAAATTTCTTGTATGACATTAGCGTGGGCAAGCTCTTACTTTTGTCCTCACTTGGTGGAGTCTCCCAGGGTTCAGATCTTGATAGGGGAAACCTCAGGTCAAGACCAGGATCTCCAGGGCGCGTCTTGAGGGGTTTGAGGGTTGAAGATTTCAAGCCCAAGTGTGAAATGTTGCTATATTGCTTATGCGCGCTTTTGTTTGGGATATATTTGGGTAAAGACATCTTGCTCGGTAGCTTTGATCTGCCCGATTGCTCTCAAGTCGACCCTGCTGTGGCCATTGTGGCCATTTGCCTATCCGTAGCTCGGCACCCGACCGCCATTCGCACTGCGAGCAGTCAAGTGCATCTGGCATGGCCCAACAGTAGCCAGGTTTCAGGTGGCATTAGGCAAGAACGGCGCTGACCAATCCGTCACAATTGCCATGGCCCAACAGCTGCCGACCATCAAGCTGGGGGCAGTTCAAGGCGCTCAGCTGTGTGCAGAGTGTTTGCCAAGGGGTGCAGCAACAGATGCAGATGGTGTAACAAGCGGTTTGCATGCAACAGGCCCCACGGAGCCGCAAAAGCTGGCGGCTACCGAGCCGCTGAAGCTTCCCGAGCAGCAGCTTGCGCAGCAGCTGCTTGAGCAGGTGTACGTCAAAGCACGTACAACGGTGGAGCGGCTGGCAGGCCAGAGGAATTCAAGATGCGGCTTTCAGGCGCAACGCCCATTGGGCAGGCTTGCGATGGCGGAGTGAGTACAGAGCGTTTCTGGGCACGATTTGAAGGCAGAAGCCGAAACTCTCAGCAGAAGCGCCAGGACTTTGCCCAACTGCGGCTCGGCCGCACACATTCCATCAAATCCATCGTGAACTCGCGGACCTCAGACCCACTTGTAGGCGGCGGGTAGCGGTGGCGGTCTAGGTGGCGGTGGCGGTAGCGGTAGGTGGTGGTGGCGCGGTATGGCGCTGGGGCGATAAGGCGGCGCGGCGGTACGGTGGTGCGGCATTGCCGCGACGGCTTGGCGGCACGGCGGCGGGCGGGGCGGCGCTGTCGTGCTTCCGGGATTTCGCGGTACCGCGGTGCCGCGATCGTTAAAATATCGCGATTTCTCGGGATCGCGGATTTTTTTTACGATATAATTATCGAATATATTTCGGAGACGAATAATAATCGGCGAAATTCTAGCATTCGTATTTATGATTCGGAGGAACGATTTTATGATGAAGATTTATTATTATTAGAAATATATTTATTTCTAAAATTCATTTGATTCTTTGAATGATCGATCTCTATTGAATATGATAAATTTATGAAATTATTATCTCTTCCGTAGAACGCTCGGATTCTTCTTCTCAAAATATCTTGGATATTTCCTAAAAAACGATCTTGAAATATCTGGAATATTTTCATAAAACGGTCTGGAATCGATTTTTCAAAAAATTGAGGATATTTTGGAAAAATGATTTGAGATCGTTTTCTAAAAAATCTGAGATCTTTTGGAAAATCGGGCCGAATCTCGCATATCTAAGCCGATATATTAATGTACTTTATTTTTCCGATTTGATAATGTTATATACGTCTGAATTGATATTTTGATCCGTTTCATATCTTCTCATCCGAGAAATTCATATATTAGATAATTAGAAAATATATAAATTAATGAAATTAGACGCTAGATGCACCAAATTCTATTTTTTAGAGAGCTTATAATCAGGAATATATACTTATTACTTCTAAGAACTAATTTTTGAAAGATTATAGCACGTTGTCCGTTAATTCAACGAATTTATTCATTTGAATTTACGAATTTTGAATTTAATTATTGGCGAATTCGGAAGCTATTCATTCCAAATCCTATCCATAGAAATTTATAACGCATGACCCGCCGCTTCTGAGAATTCAATTCCGATTTAAAAGAAACTCATATTTAGATTTCGCCAATCAGGATTTTCGAACTTGTTAGAGGATGCCTGATAAATTTGGAGACGCAATTTCGGGCCAGATCGCATGCGGCTCATTTAAATATAAGCATATTATTCTATATTATGATTTATTACGGTGGAATGCAATGGATTGAGAAATTCTCTCGGGAATACGATGATATGTAGAACGTAGCATTTCTTCATATCTATAATTTGATTCCAGGATTTCTTGATTTAATGTAGCTATAGAAATGCCCTCCTGATAATCGTAATCTAAGTTAAGGCTATTATAATTGCATTTCTTTTGATGCCTCCAGGCGGAACAGAAATAAATTCCCTAGGATTTATTCTTCTTTTCTAAGCCGAGCGCTGCAGAATTTCAGCTTGCGTTTTGCGCATGAGGCGGTTGCCAGATTGTTGTTGCCAGGGTGATGCCGCAAGGAAAGGGTCGGCATGGGGGGTCAAAACCAGGGCGTTGTCAGGGCATTTTTGCCGGGGTGCCGTTGGCGCATTGTTGCCAGGGAATTATGGAGGGAGCTATCGTAAAGGAGGGGAAAGAGCAGAAAGTTCATAGGGAGCTGGGCAAATACGTTAATGCCAGAATAGGATCCTAAAGAGATTGGAAATAGGATTCTATCAACCTATCAAGGGCTAGGCATTGATAGGATATTACTAGCGGGGAATATTTTAGGGCGTTGCCCGAGGATCAAAGATCAGGAAGCTGGTCGCAAGGGCCTTATTCATAAGGGAATTCGTCGCAAAGATGGGGAGGGAGCTATTGATATGGAGAATAAGAATAGATTGCTGAAATCGGGGAGATATTGCCAGGGCGCAATTGGGAATTCTTGGATACGAGAACTAAAGAATATTGATAGGGACGCCGGATATTATTGGGATATTCTTGCCGGAATATTATCGTAATTACAGGGCCAGGCATTAAGACGCGCTTGCCGATTCTTATTTCTGGGGGCGATTGCCAGGATAATGTTGCCAAGATACTATTATTTTGGGCAGAGAGGGGAGATTATTTATCTATATCGTATTGGGATTTGGGCAGAGAGGAGAGATTATTTATCTATATCGTATTGGGAGCGGGCACGTGCGATCCGTTCTTAAGTTATCAGAAGAATTCTATTGTCGATATGCGGACCAAG